CATATGGCAATCCCAGTAGCTAAATAAAGCATTGGACCTCAAGGTCAATTTGAACCACAAGGTTGGTGGTTGAAACTCATCAGGGACTCCTTGGAAACTCTGTACAGGATTGCCCAAAGTCAGAATTGACCCAATAGCACTTAACAACAAAAAAACAGTAGTTGAGTACTAGTGTGGCACCATATGGTAAGCATTAGAATGCTAAGTTAATGGTCGGTGGTTCAGGCCCACCAGCCATTTCTTGGTAATACTATACAGAATTGCTATGAGTCAGAACAGACTTGATGAATTTATCAACAACAATATCAACAACTTTGAACATTGAATTACCGTATGACACAGGAATCCAAATCCTGGGTATGTATCAAAAAGAATTGATGGGGTAGGAATACAAACAGAAGCCCATATAACAATATTCTTTGTAGAACTAGTCATAATATTCAAGGGAGGGTAGTATTTTGACTTTAGTCCAGAGAACTCTTTTTAAACATTTGACCTTCAAAATTTAAGACAAGATATGGTTGTTGTTTCCAGGCACTAATTCCATAATTTGTAATTTGTTACAGCATCAAGAGGAAACCAATTCAGGGCATAGAACCAAATTCAGGCTGATGCTGAAGGGATCTTCTGGATGAAAAATTGGAAATGCAATCTCTACATTACAAGCATACTAAGGAAAGGGGTCATTTTTCAGTGTCTAGATGTAGTGTTTTGAAATGATTCATGTGGTGTCTACAATTTCACTTTGGCATAGCCTAGAATCCCAAGCCCCCTAAAGATGATACAATCACTAAAATAATAGAGTCCTACTAACAACTTTCCTCAAGGCTTCCTTCATGTCCTTGTTCCTCAGGCTGTAAATAAATGGGTTGATCATTTGGGGAACCACAGTGTACATCACTGAGGCTACAACTATCTTTCTGGGTGAGTTTGTAAATGCAGAACTGAGATTAACACCAAAGCCTGTTCCATAGAATAAGGCAACAACTGAGAGGTGAGACCCACAGGTAGAAAAAGCCTTATACTTTCCACCTGCTGATGACATTCTTAAAACAGAGGAGACAATTTTAATATAAGAGAATATGATTCCTGAGAGGGGAACACCTCCACAAACAGCAACCACAAAATACACTAGGATGTCATTGATGATAGTATCAGAACAGGCAAGGTTGAGAATCTGGGCAAGATCACAGAAGAAGTGGGGAATTTCCAGATCTGTGCAAAAGGACA